CGGTTAAGGAGAAGAAAAGGTAAGAAAAGAAGGCTGGAACAACAAAAGGAATATAAAAAACATGTACATTATTACAAAACACTCCCTAACTTGATGAATATTAAGTATATTAAGTAGACACTTACCCCAAAAGGGCCGAGTTATACTGAATTACAGATACGTATTCAAAGGTACATGATAAAGGCTGTAGTGGTATAAACTAGTTAAGGAATGAAAATCAGACGCGATTGAATTTTAACCACCTCCGTACGCTGTCGCGATCGAGCAGGGAGTGACGGTGGTACGAAACAAAATCAGAATGCGAGACAAAAGAGCTATGGAACAATTAAAAATTTTAATTTAAATACGAGTGGCCAGGAACCGGAGAAAGGCGATAGAAAGTCACACCGTCACAAAACTAATTGAGTAATTTCCCAAAAAATAATTGAATATCATGGTAGTATAAAATCGTGACGCCGTGGTAGCCTAATGCTTTGACCTGGCGCCTCTCGAGGGCGTGGTTTCGAATCCGGGTTCGGACCCCTGAGTTTTTCGGAATTCATGTGCGACATTTAATTTCAAATACACCATGAGCGTTTCGGTGAAGGAAAACATTGTGATCAAACCTGTAGAAAGGTTCACAAACCTCGGAAGACTATGGCCTAAGTCCTCTCATGAGAGGAGACCCGTGCCCAGTAGTGGGACGACGTATAAATGGGTTAATGATGAAATATTTATACAAATATAAAACGTTTAATTTTAATCGTTAAGTGGATTCGTAAATATGCAAAAAGACAATTTTACTCAACCGGCATTAAGAAAGAAAGAAAGAAAGAAAATATATTTATTTGGTCCACATTACATTGACAATAACTACTTTACAACTACAAAAGTAAGGAACCAAAAAGGTCACCACTCAGCATGTGCCAGTTTGCTCGCGGAGAAACAGACCGGCGCTGATATTCTGTGGCCACCCCAACAGAAAGGACACCACTACAACGAACACTTTAACAACAGGAACATATACATACATCAACTTAACATAATATAAAATATATAGGTTTTTAAACATCACAATAAACAAACAATCATTAAACAATGACAACTCTTACCACATATAAAAAATATATACACTATAAAATAATATAACATAACATATGCTGGCCTAAATAAACTACACAAAAAACAGACAAAAATAAAAAAATGAAATAAAATGAAAATTAAAAACAATAATAAAACAAATTATTAATTATTATTTATAAATAACATCCTTTCATGCATATATTTTTTTAAAATCCTTGATGAATAGTGACATCATTATTTTACCAAGAAATACGTGAACATGGATCACGAAAATGCAATTAAAAAAAATCACGAACGCACCGTGATTAAAATTCCACGAAAAGGTTAAAGACACAATTGTTCCGGCGTTTGCGCATCGCGACACGTCATCGCTCTAAACCGATGTTTCTCAAAGTGGCTTATATCGATCCTCCAGGGGTCCACTTCTCGCAATAAGGAGTCCGTATTAACTAAACTAAGGGATAATATACTTATTTAAGTCGCATTTTTGCTCGACGCGCTTCGAGCCAGTCTGCAGTCATTATATTCTTGTAGTCTTTATCTTCTAGTAGCAGTAGAGGTCCTTGTGAAAGAGTTCGTCCAGGGAAGTACTGCCACCTTACCTATTTCTGTTGCCAAGCAGTAATGTCAGCATTATTGCATTCTGGTTTTGATGGGTAAGGGTGCTAGTGAAATTACAGGCACATGGGACTTGTCAACTTATGTCTCAGGGTGACGGGCGCAGTGGCAGTCCCCCTAAGATCTTTGCGATATAAAGCTTTGAGTACCACTGCAACTGTTATGGACAGGCGTGTAGCTTACCATCAGACGCACAACTTGTTCGTCCCGTTACTTGATGTTATAAAAAAAGAACATAATATCGTGTGATTTTCTATATGTGTATCTGTGTGTGTGCGTGCGTGCGTGTGTGTGTTTGATGAATAAAGTCCAATATCGAGATCTTAGGTTTTCGCGATTGTTACACATAGGAAATGAAAACATCCTAATTTCAAGAAAGATGGTTTCTCCGTACCACCAGTTTGGGATCCAGTATTTCCTCTAATGAAAAATCCCAAACAGACATAAGACTGCAGTACTAATTAGTATGTTTTAGTTTATTTTAATTTCTATTATTAATTAATAATAAATTGAACTTAATAAAAATTCTTTCAATAAAATAATTTGTAAAACTTAATGTAGCGTAAATTGGAATGTTTTCTTTGTTAAATTAAAAATAAGGTATTTAATAAATAACTATTGTAACTATAGTGAAAAACTAAGGTGGTTTGCATTAATATTAGACATAACTGGTTGAAGACTGTACCACCTCAGTCAACCGTGACCAAGGGACCTGTAAAGGGCCCGAAACGTGGGTTTGTTTGAAAAAACAAATATACGCGATTTAAATCCGGAAAAATAGTTTTATTTCCTATGAATAAAGTCCAATTTAATTTAAAATAAGGGGTCATCGATGGTCGGTATGCTACAAAAATTGGGGGTGCATGAGACGTTAACGAGCGTGGAACCCACTTATGATTCGACCACACTAAAAGGGTGCATTCATTATCCTGCATTGCAATCCGCCTTGCCGTCCGCCGCGTAATGCAGGATTATAAATGTAATCCAAGCGAGCAAACCATCCTGCAATCCGGTAAAGCGTCCTGCAATACTGCATACGTGGGTCATATGCAGGATAGTGTGTGACCAGTCTCCTGGCTACGCGGCGGATGCCTCGTAAGTAGTGAATGGGCCGTTTAAGGTTTAATGACATTAATTGTCGCATTAATGGAGACTAAGCATAGGTGTACCTACGACTTATTACGATAATTTTACTACGGCATTACTATGGCATTCGGCGTTAGACGATAGCTCGGGTGGCAGACTTCTTGGCACACCAAAGAGATTTCTCGCGTGATTTAGTGCGTGTAGTGGCCACACTGACATTAATTAGTGTGCAGCATGAGCGCAACAGGATTGCACGTGTCGCTCGGCGACGATTCAAGTGTGGAATGGTTAAATTAAAAAAAAATCATATAATAATAATTAACACTCATGAATAACATAACGCAGCAGCTTCAACCTCCATCTTGGAATGATATTGTCAATGCATAATTTATTCATATTAGACCATAAATCTTAGTAATAGCCACTCTATTTCAAGCGGTATTTTAGGCAGTATTTGTATGCCTCAATAACTGCGATAATGAGCGTTAGTTATTAACCTTGTTTGGCCCTAGTATTAGGCAGATCGTGATCACATATACATATAAATAATCTATGAAGCGATTAAGCATTTCGCAACAAAATAAGTATTTGGTTAGATAAATGTATAAAAAGTTAAAATAAACAACGTGTCAGCTATCACACATATTTCGAAGTTTTTTTTTATGATACAAATTTTTTATGCGCCTGATGGGGAATGACACATCTGTCCATAGCAATTGCAATGTCGCTCCCTGCCCTTGTAACGAAAAAAGGCACAACTATGCGTACTTAACACAGTAGTTGTGCTTTTTTCGTTCCGAGGGCAGGTCAGTGCTTTAAATCACAATGGTTCAAGGGGCTGCTGCTGTGCCCATCACTCTGAGATATAAGTTCACAATTCTTATAAGCCTGTAATTCTACATTGCTGCTTGGCGGTGGTAATAAGTGGCAGTATTTCCCTGGACGAACTTTTCCACAAAAAGCTCTACTGGCACATACATTTTACAAAGAAGTTTGATAAATTTTGTAAAAAAAAATAATATTCGAAAGGAAGGGGGTCTACCATTGACTTACAAATAAATGGACGACGGGTCTAATACAAAAAGCACGAAAAAAATGTCCCAAGTCAACCTATTTAAACGTAGTGACATGTAAAGGAATATGAAAAAGCTAAAACGTTGAATTTAAATTGTAATGTCATCGCAGTACTGTCTAATTTTGCTTGCTTCGCTGTCAGTCGAACAAACGAAGACTAAAGCGTGAATGACGCTCTGTATACGATTTTAACGCCCTATAAGTTCGGACACTTTTTAGCGCGGACCCGACGTCCATATAATTGTAAGTCAATGGGGTCTACGCAAAAAAAGAAAAAGTCCACCTGGTAAATGAAAAAAAAATCTTTGGGAACCTCTGCTCTGCGCGTAAGCCGGTTATACAGCAGGAATTAACTTCATGGAATAATAGACTTAATTAATTCATTTTTCATGTTTTATGATTCATTCAAAATAAAAAGTTAAAGGAAGTGAATTATTACAAAAAGTCAGATTTAATAATCATAATAATAATGTGCCATACAAGTAGATTACCTGCTGGTTCAAGAGTTTGTCCAGGGAACTACAGCCCATAGACTAATACAGCCATATGTGAGAATTACTGCGTTCTGGTTTTGAACGGTGCTGGTGAAATTACAGGCATACGGAACTTGTCAACTTTATTTCTTAGAGTGACGATCGTATCGACAGTGTCCCTCAGGTCATTGCGTGCGGTATATAGCTCTAAGTGGCACTGCAACCCTCATAGGTAGACTTGTCGCTGACCATCAGGCGCAGAACTTGATCGTCGTTATGAAGGCACAGATCTTCAATAAACCACCGTATCTAACAAGTTACATTGAACTAATTTGACGTTTTTCAACATGATAACACTGAAACTAATTATAGCGATTGGCGCCATTGAAGAACTGTTTCGCTTTTTTTAATTGGCACTAGATTACGTGATTATCGTCATAACAGTGTCTGTGGTTGTTAAAATAATAACAGGATTAATCCTGCCCAGTCTGACTAATAAACATGAATTGGTAGGATTTCTGTGACATAAAGCTTCTAGCAGAAATGAAGAAAGAATAGCTGCTCAATACAGCACATATCATCCGCTGGCTTTTGAACCTGTGTCCCCGCACCGAGCCAACTGTACTGTTACTGAAGAATACCGCTTCTCCTATTTAAAAACAAAAATGAAACAAAAACAATACTTACAGACAGTAAAATTAAGGCAATGTCTGACTACCCTGAGCCCGAATACTTCCAGTCCGTGACAGTCGTCTCCCGATTGTCTGAACGTGAAATCCAATATTCAGCAGCTTTTCATGATCGAGGATCTTCCTTCCATCAAATATGTACGCAGGCTTCATCATGACCTCATATATTTTTCTATAATCCAGGGTCCTAAATTCATCCCATTCCGTACAGAGTACAATAGCATGAGCTCCGGAGACTGCTGAGTACGCTGAACCATGAATTTCAACATTTTTACGTACTAATTCAGGTTCTGAAGTGATATAAGGATTTGTAAGTTCGTAGAATATCTGATCAGTTTCCACTTTTGGATCATATATATGTAATTTAGCACCTTCGTCTAATAAAGTTTTTGATACATGTATCGAAGGAGATTCTCTCGTATCTCCTGTGTTTTTTTTAAATGAAAAGCCTAATATAGCAATCTTTTTGTCTGATACTGTGTTGAATAAGGACTCAATAACTTTACGTGTGAATCTGGTTTTTTGATAATCGTTTAGGTTAATAACTTGCTGCCAATATGCAGCAACTTCGTGTAAATTCAGACACTCACATAGGTATATTAAGTTAAGAATATCCTTCTGGAAGCAACTGCCACCGAATCCAATAGAAGCTTCCAGAAATTTTGGTCCAATACGGGAATCCCGACCTATAGCCCGTGCAACCTCCGATACATCGGCTCCAGTGGCTTCACAAACAGCTGACAGGGAATTGATACTCGATATTCGTTGAGCAAGGAACGCGTTTGCTGCTAATTTAGATAATTCCGAGCTCCAAGTATTGGTTGTTAAGATATTTTTTGCCGGGATCCAATGTTCGTATACCCAACAGAGCTCTTGTATAGCTTTTTGTCCTTCCGGTGTTTCTTCACCACCAATTAGGACCCTTTCCGCTTCCACCAAATCGACTATAGCCGTCCCTTCGGCTAAAAACTCCGGGTTGGACAAGATCTGGTACTCGACTCCAGGTTTTGTGTTAGCTCTGAGGATTTTCATTATAATTTCAGCAGCTTTCACTGGTACGGTGCTCTTTTCAACAACAATTTTGTTGCTTGTTGCTATGTCAGCTATCATTCTAGCTGCGCCTTCAATGAATTTCAAGTCTGCTGCCCTACCTTTGCCATTGCCGAAAGTTTTCGTCGGTGTATTCACAGAAATAAATATAAGGTCAGCTTCTTGGATGCCTTTAGCAATGTCAGTGGAGAAATAAAGGTTTTTACCTCTACATTGTTTCACGACTTCGTCCAAACCCGGTTCGTAGATCGGTAACTTATCAGAATTCCACTGGCCTATCCTCTCAACGCTCTTATCACAAACTGTGACTGTGATATTGGGGCATTTTAAAGCTATAACACTACACGTAGGTCCCCCGACATATCCAGCGCCTAGGCAGCAAATTTTCTTAATAACCATTATTGATTATTCACTGAAACTGTACACCAATATCCACTTTAATGCGAAATTACCAAAAAATTTTGCTAATTACACAGTTTAAAAAATAATGTATCGCTTCTCCCGTTTATTCACTTTACACTGTCAAGTTTTTGTGTAATTCGGATTATGATTGATTAGTAAAAATATCAATTTGATGATTCTAATTAATCAAAATAATAGTTTTAAACGGAAAAACGTTAATTGACGTCAAACCCGATCGAGCCACATATTCCAACTGCACACAATTACACAAGGCAACCTGCCTAAACTCAACGTCAAAAAAAACAACAAACTCTATAAGCCAACTAAATTCGCATTCAACGGAAGTTTTTGGAACTAAAATGACGTTTCTATATTTTGAGTACCCTTCTCACACCGCACCTTCTCCCCTCATGTTCACGCAGCACAGACAACCTCATTTTCCAGGATTATAATAAAACACAAATTTACGTTTGCGTTTGTTAAAATTTGACAGTTCGATTAATTTCATACCCCCTTCACCCCGTAATACGTTCGCTCAACTAAAGCAACTGTAAAATATAAGTTAGTTAATAGAGATAGTCTCAAGAGGAGTCACTGACATTTTAGGGATGCGAACTAGGTCGCCTTTTGTCGATGTTTACTATTAATTTAATTTTTAGTGGCGTTCTTGTTGATCGATTTAAAAAAGCGTGTCTTCTGAGAGTAACTACAAGTTACTTTTTAAAGGTAACCTTTACATTGGGAACTAAAAGACAAAGATGCTATTATACAGACAGGGTTTTATAAAGCATGATATTGATAATATACTACGAGGTTGTTAATATTTTACATATAACCTGTATGCTCTTCTCTTTTTTGCAAAAGTACAAATTACGCCTGTTTATTTACCAGATTTAAACATCATGTCGAAAAGTTGGATTTAATAAAACCATAAAGGACATTCCATTAGGTGTTATTGCAGATTAACGAGATTCTAACTCGAATTAAAAATAATAAGGTGCGTATAGCTTTTTTTCACAGCACCTGATGGTAAGCGACACGCCTGTCTGTAACAGTTACTGTGTTGTCGCTTTAAATCGCAAAGATCTGAGGAGCACTGCCATTGCACCCGTCACCCTGGGACATAAGTAGGCAAGTCCCATGTGCCTGTAATATCACCAGCCCCTTTAGGTACACTTTAAAACTTTACTAGCAGTAGAGTTTGTCCAGTGAAGTACTGCCACCTTACCTATTCATGCCACCAAGCAGTAATGTCAGCATTACTGCGTTCCGGTTTTGAAGTGTAAGGGTGCTGGTGAAATTACAGGCACATCACATGGGACTTGTCGACTTATGTCTCAGGGCGACGGGCGGTGGTGGTAGTGACCCTCAGATGTTTGTGATTTAAAGCTCTGAGAGGTCCTGCAACTGTTATGTAGTTTACCATCAGGCGCACGACTTGATCATTCCGTCACTTGATAGGTATTACAAAAAATAAACCCAGAACACAGCAATGGCTGACATCACTGCTCGGCGGCACAAATAATTAACTTTACCCCTTTACCCTTCAAAACCAGAACTAGATAATGTCCTTTGTGTGGTTTTCTTAAACTGTTCACATACGCAATTATCTATTTTTTTAGATAGGCCTACATGTCCAATGTCTAGGTACATGATCAATCAATTAGTAAAGCTATGGATTAAAAATAAAGTTTTTTTAAACCAGGAACTCGATAATGCGTTCAAAATATCATGATTTGATTTAATTTTTATTGGTTATCAAAATGTTTCACCACAATGGTATTCATTTATTGTTTGTGTAATTACTCCACTAGTTATAATTACAACAGACAAAAAACAATACACAAGAAAAACAAACTTCTATCCGGTTGGATTCGAACCAACGTCTCCTAGCAAACCATGCCAGACGCTATGCCAACTAAGACACGACAGATGTCATGAATTTTTCCATGTGTTTGTTGCAGATCTCTTGTTTTAGTTTTAACGACTTTGCCGTACCGCCATCTGTGAGAAATCTATGAAATATAATTTAATATCATGATTTATGAACACCAATACGTGCAGGAAGATGTCGTACTTCAGCTATGTCATGAAGGACAATAAGTACCTATGGGTAGAAGGCTGCACTCCTGGTTGAAAATTTTGAGGGAATGGTTCGGCTGAAGTACCACCTCGTTCTTTATAGCTGCAGCCTCTAAAGTCAGGATTGCCATGATGTTGTCCAACTTCTGATAGAAGAGTATTCAAAAATAACACTTGGGCCTCTTTTTTAACCAACTTCAAAAAAGGAGGAGGTTCTCAATTTGACTGTATGTTTTTTTGTTTGTATGCTACGCGATAACTCCGGTATTTGTGAACCGATTTTCATGATTCTTTTTTTGTTGGAAAGGGG